AAAACTATTTCACCTTCTAGTGCCAACTGGTCTCTGCTCCAAAGATTAACTGGTTCCATGGTTTCTTTACTTGAATGGCCGAGAAGACTCGTAAGAAGATACAATAATTTCAAAATGAACCTTACATTCATAATGTACTTCATTCATAATGTACTTTAACTACAGACAAACTCGTCAATATATATACAACCCAAAAAAGCATTACGAAGATCTACAAAATCCATGTTTGTTTGTGCAGGTTCATGGAGAAAGGCAGGGAAAAGTAGGTAGGAATGGAAGGGCATGGCTAAGAGTTACAGGGAGAAAGAGTGGCCATACAGATGGCCATGGGGGCCAGTGAACAAATCAGCCACTGCAGCTGCCAAATTCATTGTGCAACTCGCTCAACGTTTTCAACGTTCGAACACTTTTAGCTTACGAATATTTCCTGTTATTGGAGATGCAGTAGAGTTGTCATGATCAGTCTGCTTCCTCAAGCATGTTGGCTGTATTGTCCTTAGTATGAAGAGGAATCTGTGCTGGCTGCCATCTCCAAGTGCGGGAAAATGCAGAATGTTTCGTCGTAGATTACAGGAAAGGAGAGAGAGCTCGTTTGAGCTAAAACACGCCAGGATGACCTCGAATTTTGCTGAATTCGAGATCCTTCGTGATGGGTGGCACGTCTTCTAAACATCCACTTGGTCGCAACGTCAGACAATCCAGGTAAAGCCCACCTTTCCAATATGTACAATCTGTTTCCCGGATGCTGTAGGTTAGCTTAACTTTTTGGGTCGACGACCCGTCTCCATGTACGTTAATGGTTCCAACCTCGAACTCGAGCCAATCCTCAAAACACTTCCTCGGTGTGTCTACAAGGTTAAGGGACTTTTCCACCGTCTGACCATCAGCAGTAGCGACAGTGAATGTTAGAGGTTTCTTCCAAGAAAGGAAGTGAAAGCGGCCACCCATCGGGTTCGCAGCACGAAGGCGCCAGACTGCGGTATATGAACCTGCTGGTAATGAGCAGCTCCAAGTCCCGCGTACCTCCAGCCAGCAGATAGCGAGCAGGTGCGCAACCTGACACCAACCTCAACCTTCTATTACTCTCCGAAAAACCTTACAGCAAACTAAACGCAAAATTCTGACAAACACAGGAAAGTTTGAGAAGCAGCTGAGAATGACAGCATAGAAATCATTAAATAGTACAAACCTTGCCGAAACACGAACTGCGAGAGTGCTCCCACTTCCAGAATCTCATGTCCGAGCCCCAAGCAATGTCCATGGCAACCACCGAGAGCTTGCGACAAACGCCCCTCGACCTTTGCAGCAACATGTACTTCTGCAACCCGTCATCAAGAAACACCCCAGCCGCTAGACTTTTCACAATCTCTCTAATACTTTGAAGCTTCGTCTGTGCTTCACAAATACTATCGTAGTCGCCGGGAAGGAAATCCTTCCATAGTTTCTCACTCTCAGTGACTCTCTTGAAAGCGGTACATACTCCAGCCATCCGTGTCGCATCCCATGGTGTCGTGCGGGCCAGGATAGATGCAATACAATCATCTGGAAGGTCAGCCATGCTCATCGTGACAGCTTACAAAGCCGCGATGGCAGGCCAATTGCTGAGGTCAGTGGTGCAATTCCCTGCCTAAGTCTTGCAAACGACTCGGCGAAACGGGATTGAACGAAGGACCACCCAACATACGCCAGCCGAAATTCGTCAAAGCAAACCTCTCATATTCATGACAATCTCCTCAGCAATTATACCCCGGGAAAAAGTTCTCGCCTTCGTCTGCAACAACGTTTTCTCATAAGCTATGGCTCCGCACAGCGTAGCGAGCATGACCTCGACTTCAGCAAATCACCTAATTTACAAGACCAGGACAATATCTAATAGAAGTATTACAACGCACACGTTGAGGAAACCTACACTTCACATTCTCTCAATTGAATGCGCATGAGACATTTAAAAAGCGAATCCTACAACGGATTTAGCGAGACCACAAGGATCATCACAAAATCAAAGCGAACAAATATTAAACCAGCGCTGAATTATGCTTTTTTGTTCATACCCTCGACGCCTTAAGCTAATGAACCCTAACACACACTGCCAATCACTCTCTCTCTCTCTCGCTCGCTCTCTCTCTCTCTCTCTCTCTCTCTCTCGCTCTCTCTCTCTCTCTCCAGTAAATCCCTTCCAGTACAAGCACTCCACGCTCACCCTCCAAGCATCGTTATAACTCCTGGACGTCAAATCACCACGACCCAGAGCCAGGCAATAAACAAACCTGGGGCACAAACCGGAAAGCCTAGCCAGCGCCCCTTCTGACAGATTCCTGCGCCGTGAGAAAGCCAACGAACACGCAAAAGGTGGCGATGCCAAGACATCATGCAGTTGCTGGAGTCTCCTTGCGACGGGGACCGCATCTTATTGTAGCACAGTGCGTCGAATCGCACCACAAACACGCAGCGTTCGTGGATTGCCGGGTCCCAGCAAGCTCAGTCCCACCCCGCAAATTTTCCTCTACTGCGGCAAGCAAGTATCTCCGCTCACGAGGAGCATGGCGGGTGGGGGGAGACCGGAACCGAAAACCGCCCCCCTTCCCAACACCGTGCCCATCGGAGATTCACGGTCGTAGGGTGCGGTTTTGGTTCCGTGAATGGGTCAGGAAGCGTCGCGACGAACGATTTCTGTTGGACTAAGTCAGAGTTTAACCATCCATGGGATAAGACTTGGTTTACGCATTGAGTTCCCTCTGTGTAGGCTGATCTGGAAGTTTAAATATAGTGGAGGAAATAATGCGTCAGTGGCAGGTCCATGATTTTCCTGTTTATCTGCTACTGACCTCATAATGGACTCTTTGATGTTAAACCAAATTTTGAAACCCATCTCCACTTGGTGTTTGGTGTTGGAACTATTGCAAACAATACGATTGATTAATCTTTGTTTCTTTTTATTATGATTGTTATGATTATAAGGCGTGTTTTGAATAAGTAGCTGACATTCCAGAAAGCTATACATCACCATTTTCGTTTGATTTATTTGTGTATGTTTGTAATGATCTTCAGTTTAGATGTTTTTTTAATGTAGTATTATATGTTTTTTTTGGTATAATTTGTACCAGTCTCATGATATACAGATTTGAAACTACAACTATGTACAAGCTTTATTGAGAAGCTTTTGCATTATAACTAAACTTAGGAACTTAGAGCCAAAACAAACTAGACTTCCAATTTCAAGTGCAGTATTTTATGCCATTCAAATAAGCTCACCATTGATGTACTTGCATATTATTTAAAGAATAATCTTTTAATATAATTTCTTTCCTTTTTAATATATATATATATATAATTAAAATAATTTTAAATAAAACTTTAAGTTATTTCAAAGTATATATTATTTTAAAGCAAATATTTAAAAACATGCTTATGAATACGAATAAATCATATATTTTTTTATTTATTAAGAATAAATAAATAAACTATAAAAGCATTGTAAGTTTTAAAGTTTGTATGATATGTAATTACAGCATTTTTTACAAGACTAATTAATTAAAGGCTATTTTAAATAGAACCAACTTAATAAAGAGATTGTCATGGATATACATATTTATTCTAATATTTATCTATAAGATTAATAGAAGTAGGTAAAAGTAGATTTATTTCATAATATTTTTTAGAAATGCTTCCTAGAAGCTTCATAGGTGTTGTTTTGACTTTATATGTATTTATAGTTGATTGATATATTGGAAACTTGGTCAACAAGTTAATCACATGTTGATAGTTTGTGAAATAAGCTAACTATGTGAAGCACATATAGAAAACTTGCCTTGCAAGTTAAAATACATGTCTTGCAAAGTCAACATGTTTTAGAGATCCTATAGCATATTGCCACATAGCTCCTAATTAAGAATATATATGGTGGCAAGAAAGAAGCCTTCTTCACTCTTGACAATGCCTTTCTAGTCTTTAGTCTTGTTTCAAGACTTTTTAGTCTTTTTGTCTTTGGCAATAGCCATTTTAGTTTAATACCATATCATCTTGGAAGTGACTTTCTAGTTTTTTTAAGTGACACAAGAGTATATTTAGGATTTCTTTCTTCAAGGTTCATCTCCTTGATAGTTTGACAAGAAAGCTAACTTACTATTTTTATCTTATTTTAGAAGTGAATGAATTACCCCACTTCTATTGTTGTATTTTGAAGGTTGCAAACTACCCACCTTCAAACAAATAATCTTCTTTTCTATCACTAATGTTTTTCTTAAAGAGAGTGGATTATCCCTCTTTGTGGAGCTACTTTTGATATTAGAGTTTACATATTACTTTCTTCTAATTTAACTTTTTAAATTTATTTGAATTATCTATCTATCTATCTATATATATATATATATATATATATATATATATATATATAATAATAATAAAAAAATAAAAAAAAAAACTTATGGATACTACTCTCAAAGGAAGTGAAAATAGATTTACAACTATTGCAAAACTTCATGAGTTTATCAATACTCTACGAATAAAAATCTTATATATTTTCAATGTAAATCATGGAAGTAATATTCTTACTCCTATGAAAGAAGTTCAAAGTGTGCATTAAGAAGTTATGTAGTTGAAGGAAGTAAGTAGATTGACTTCACAACTAAATTCAGGAAGTTTTCTTTCTATAAGTATGGTAAGAATAAAGATTAATATGCCTGAGAAGTGTGATGGAACAAGATCAAAATTTCAAATATTTCTACAACAAATCAAGCTTTATCTAAGATTGCATCCCTTCTAATATCCTAATGGATTTGCTCAAGTTGGATTCATAAGCATACTATTATTAAGAAATACTCTTTCTTAATTTGTACCTTTAATGGAAAAGAATTCATGACTCTTTTATGAGTTGAATTCATTCATAGAAGTATTCACAGCCACATTCATAGAAAGTGATAAAAAAAGAATATCAAATATGAAGTTTTTATCTTTATTGCAATAATTACAGTCAACCATCTTATATGTTCTTCAATTCCAAAACCTTGCTTGCAATGTGGACTAGAATGATAAAGCCCTTATCAATCAATTTTGATATATGTTGAAAGATAATATTAAAGTTCTGTTATTAAAAATACCAAAGATAAAATCTTTAGAACAATTTATTACTTAAGCCATTGCATGCAACAAACAATTATTTGAAAGACATCAAGAACAAAGACTTGACTAGAGAAATAAGTCAAATAATGATAACAAATCCCAAGTTTTCATAAACTTATTCATAAAGACTAGAACCAATGCAAATTAATACAATACGTTTTAAATTCTTCATGAAACAAGAAAAAATTTGATAATGTGAAGAATACTTATGCTTATATTATAGAGAAGCTAACACACTGCTCAACATTGTTTAAAGAAACAACACAACTATAAAATAAGAAACATGGTTTCTATAGAAGATAATGTGTCATAAAATGAATTTTTTTAACTATAATAGGGACCATATAGCTAGAATCTTGTGTAACTCCTAGTAAAGGTCGTATTCTCTCTTCAAATCCTTTACCTTGTTTTATAATAGAAGTTTATTTAAAACCAAAAAAATCACAAAGTCTTAACTTTATTAGATTCAAGAGCCTTAGCCTATTTTATAGAGAAAGATTTTGTCAAAAAATAAGAGATATCATTAGCCAAGAAAATTAAATCTGCATATATGGAAGTCATAGATGGTCGTTTACTATCTTTTGGAGATATTATGAATGAGATTTTTTCTTTAAATATAGAAATTAAAGATCATAATAGCATAGTAATATTTAATAAAATAAGGTCTCTACCTAATTCATTTATTATAAGATTATCTTTGTTAGAAAAGTATAATCCTCAAATAGGTTGGATTTATTGGAACATTAATTTTTTTGGTAATTTAATACAAAATCCCATTAATTAAATAGAAATACATGAGTTTCATACATCCAAACCTTTAATAGTAGGTGTGAGAGCTTTTATGCATGCCACAAAAGAAGGGTCAACTTTTGTTATATATGCCATGTCCATTTTTGATGGTAGAGAGATGTCAAGTAATATTCTTAGTTAGTATCAAGATTTTCAAGAGATATTTGAAAAGAAGAATGCAAATATTCTCTTATAGTATCATCTTTATGATTATTCCATTGATCTTTAAGAAGAAGCTCAACCACCATTTGGACCAATCTATAGCCTTTTACAAAATGAGTTGGATGCACTTAAAGAATACATTGATGAGAACTTGGCTAAGAATTTCATATGCCATTCTAAATCTCCAATCAAGGATCCTATATTGTCACGGATATATGCATATAAGCCAGTAGTTATATGTATAAATAAATAGAAGTAAGTAAAAATAGATAAAAGTAAGTTAATTCTATAATATTTACTATGGAAGCTTCCTAGAAACTTTATAGATACTACTTTGTCTTTATAGGTGTCTTTAATTGACTTTTTGGATTAAAAAAGTGATCAATAAGTTGGCCATGTGCCACACATGTTGTTAGCTTAAAGACCAAGTTAACTATATCGCCTACATATAGAAAAACTTACCTTATAAGTCAAGGCATATATTCTACAAAGTCAACACATATTGGAGGTCCTATAGAATATTGCCATGTAGCCCCTACTTAGATAGTATATATAAAGACAAGAGTGAAGCCTTTTTCGTTCGTGTCAACTCCTTTGTTACTTCTAGTCTAATTTCAAGGGTCTCTGGTTTTCTTGTCTTTTGGTAGTAGCCATTCTAGTTTCTTTTTAAATATACATATTAATTTATTTCTATTTTTTCATCTTTCTTTAAAAGAAGTCTCACTTGTTTATTTATCTTTAATAAGTTCTTATCCTTTACAGATTGACGAGAATACACTTACAATATCAGAGCTTTGTCTAATCTTGATTAAGTGTGGATTAGTCTTTTTTCTTGATAAGACATAAGCATATTAGAAGTTGCAGATTACCTTCTTCTAAATTGATATTGTCCTTAGTATTTTCTTTGTTTTCAAGTCTTTTCTTCTATTTATCGTGAGCAATATTAGACATCTATTTTTCTAAGTGTTATTATGGCAAAACTTGCTAAAATAAAGAGTGCAATGGCACAAATGCAAGAGTAATTGAGGGAGTTAATGCTTGTGATGCATCAACTCAATTTACCACCACAAGGAGTAACAAGATTGACACATGCTTCTTTCAAGTTCAGTATTATCATGGATTTCATCTTTTCTTGAACAATAAGATTCAATATTCGATAATCTAAAGGCTTTTTTGGTAAAGTTTTGATCCATGTATGGAGAACATGATGCAATTCTTATAGCAACCAACAAAATCTATATTTTGTGACAATGCAATCAATCAGTAACATTATATGCTTCATAGTTTTGACAACTTGTAACTGATATCAAGTGAAATGATGCTGCATTTAATAGCCAGTTTTTTTTACAGATTACAATATGAGGTAAAAAAATTAATGCTCAACTTACTTGATCCTCAAAAATTGAGTCAAGCAATTGACTTTGTTGGGAA